GACAGTTTGTCTTACTTGTAGTGCTTCAAGTTGGACAGTTTGCCTCACTTGTATAGTGCTTCAAGTTGGACAGTTTGTCTCACTTGTATAGTGTTTAAAGTGGGACAGTTTGCCTCACTTGTATAGTGCTTCAAGTTGGACAGTTTGTCTCACTTGTATAGTGTTTAAAGTGGGACAGTTTGTCTCACTTGTAGTGCTTCAAGTTGGACAGTTTGTCTCACTTGTAGTGCTTCAAGTTGGACAGTTTGTCTCACTTGTATAGTGTTTAAAGTGGGACAGTTTGTCTCACTTGTATAGTGCTTCAAGTGGGACAGTTTGTCTCACTTGTATAGTGCTTCAAGTGGGACAGTTTGTCTCACTTGTATAGTGTTTAAAGTGGAACAGTTTGTCTCACTTGTAGTGCTTGAAGTGGGACAGTTTGTCTCACTTGTAGTGCTTCAAGTTGGACAGTTTGTCTCACTTGTAGTGCTTGAAGTGGGACAGTTTGTCTCACTTGTAGTGCTTCAAGTTGGACAGTTTGTCTCACTTGTAGTGCTTGAAGTGGGACAGTTTGTCTCACTTGTATAGTGCTTGAAGTGGGACAGTTTGTCTCACTTGTATAGTGTTTAAAGTGGGACAGTTTGTCTCACTTGTAGTGCTTCAAGTTGGACAGTTTGTCTCACTTGTATAGTGTTTAAAGTGGGACAGTTTGTCTCACTTGTAGTGGGACAGTTTGTCTCATTTGTAGTGCTTGAAGTGGGACAGTTTGTCTCACTTGTATAGTGCTTCAAGTGGGACAGTTTGTCTCACTTGTATAGTATTTAAAGTGGGACAGTTTGTCTCACTTGTATAGTGCTTCAAGTGGGACAGTTTGTCTCACTTGTAGTGCTTCAAGTTGGACAGTTTGTCGTACTTGTATAGTGCTTCAAGTGGGACAGTTTGTCTCACCTGTAGTGCTTGAAGTGGGACAGTTTCTCTCACTTGTATAGTGCTTGTAGTGGGACAGTTTGGTGCACTAGTGGTAAGTCCAAGGATTTAGAACGCTAAATTTCTGGTTTCAATACCCGCGGTGCCACAGCACAGACAGCCCCTTGAGCAGCTTTACGATTAACAACAATCAAACATAACATACTGCTATTTCACAAGTATTATTTTTTCCAACCGTGATATTCGGAACTGACGCTGACAAGTTTGTCTTTTTTACTTAGAGAAAACAAATCTGTTTTGAACTTTGTATTCTTAATGAATTGAGTCAGGCTCGGCCTAGTGGACCATTTGTACATTATAAGAGTGTCGGTAATATCTCAATATATTATTAGAACCCCAGAAGTTGGCGGTTGGTATTGCTGACTAACGGCTAACACAGATAGTCCTTGTGTAGCTTTGACTGCATCTTCGCGAATTGTTGACTTATTCTTAAAAATTGATTTGATCATCTTCTCACATCACTCATCAGAACTGGTGGGTTCTTGAACAATTTCCATCAGAACTGGTGGGTTCTTCTACAGAAGCTAAAAGGTGATATTCTAACGTGACTACCCAGCAGAAGTAAGAAGTAGAAATGTCCGTTGATTAGCCTTATGGGAACTGGTAACTTTAAAAGACTGTTTTAACCACTCGCACCATTGTACAGTAGTGTGTTGTCTGTCAGTCAGTAGACACTAAAATGACGTCATATAAGGAATGCTTAAAGTTGCAATTTGTACTGTCGTGACGTCAGTAAAGCGTGCCATGAATCACAAGAAGAATTATGCACTCTGTAGGCTACAACAGTGTGACGTATGAACTTTAAAAACAAGAAATAAAAATATTTGTTACTCTTTGTTGTGGTTTTATTTACTCTTGAAACAAGACACTCTCGGGGACATATATCAGTGATTGACAAATATCTAGAAGTCTACAAGTCATTGTTAACTAGAAGAGAAATATGCACAGCTGTTTCGGCGTATTTTGATACGTTCTAACCACCCTGAAAAGAAACTACCTCAAATTAACTTATTGTATCAATTATTGCATCAGTTTTGTTTCCTTATAATTAAAAGATAAAATGACCTATCTGTGGCTGATGGACTGACGGAACAGCTGATTGTCGCTGACGGATTAACGGATTTCCCGAGCTTTTAAAATGTTAGAAACCGGATAAATATGTAAAAAAATATCACTTCATTTCAGCTAACACTACTTCAGTCATGTTAAAGGAATAGAGATGTGATATCAACCATGTTGACCTAAAGACAGAAAGTTCATTTTAGAACTGTAATGGTGACATACGAAGTATCCCTTAGAAATCAGAGACGCTCCTTCTGAAGACAGTTCTCCAGTATCTTATATATATTGCCAACCGTGGTGTCTGTCTTCCGTTTACAGCGACCGCTTTCTGCGCTGCGTTTGAAAAGCTGTGCACGCACGCAAAGCTCAATATTCACTTTTGAAATGATGGGACAACAGCCATGAATAATGTTGAGGACAACTTTTATTTTGCAAACAGGATATTCTAAATTGTTAGGAATTAATCATGCCATCATTCATATTTAAAAATGTGACAATTTAAAGAATAAAAATAAAACCATGTTATTGTTGAGCGGCTCTTAGTATGACTGAAATTAACAATAATTACTTTTCGGGGTGGGCGGGGTGTAGCTCCGAGCTTTGGCTCTGAGTGAAACCAAGAGTGTAACACAATTAACTTTTTTAAAGTCCGTGAAATAATTTAAATTGATGGATTAACTTAAACTTTTCCCGTCACTGGGATGGCCAGGTAGTTAGGGAGCTCTATTCGCAATCTGAGGGTCACGGGTTCGAATCACCAAACAACGCCGTGGGGGCCTTATAATGTGACGGTCAATTCCACTATTCGTTTGTAAAAGAGTAGCCCAAGAGTTGGCAGTAGGTGGTGATACCTAGATGCCTTCCCTCTAGTATTTCACTGCTAAATTAGGGACGACTAGCGCAGATAGCTCTCGTGTAACTTTGCGCGAAATTCAAAACAAAACCCGTCAGTGGGGACGGGTACTTTTACTTGTATCAACAGTACCCTATGGTTCCTCTCTGTAGGGGATGATATGTCAACTCTTTGCAACTGCTATCAGCCAAGTTGATTGTGTAAAACAATCCAACAGTTTGAAAATAGAACTTCATCAAATTACTGTATTGGATTTAAGAAAGTCTACGCAATAGATGTATTATGGTATTTAAATTTTATATAAAAAAAATCATGTTTCATTTCACAATATACCAGTGTAGGATCTATCAAATCGGAGAGAAAGTTTGCTACAAAACAAACTGTTTATGAATAAATAAGAAAAGATCAAAGTAACACAGGTTTTGAAATGTACGATTATATTATATTTTATTTTTTCTATGAAATATATTTTAGTAAGGAAGCAGGACAAATTTATCATAGAAACTTTATGGCCTAACACCTTTTGTTATTAATGCTGTAGTACAAAAATAGCTACAAGAATATCTAATTCAGGATGAACCGTGCGATTACTGAACTTCCCCATGTAAAGGTTCAGTAAGATGTCTGTCTCTGGAGCCAGGTATTGCCTGTAAAGATTCAGTAAGATGTCTGTCTCTGGAGTCAGGTATTGCCTGTAAAGATTCAGTATGATGTCTGTCAGCCAGGTATTGCCTGTAAAGATTCAGTATGATGTCTGTCTCTGGAGCCAGGTATTGCCTGTAAAGATTCAGTAAGATGTCTGTCTCTGGACTGAATCTTTACAGGCAATACCTGGCCATCTTGACTGAATCTTTACAGGCAATACCTGGCTGACAGATGACAGACATCTTCTGAATCTTTACAGGCAATACCTGGCCCTGGCTGACAGACATCTTACATTGCCTGTAAAGATTCAGTAAGATGTCTGTCAGCCAGGTATTGCCTGTAAAGATTCAGCAAGATGTCTGTCAGCCAGGTATTGCCTGTAAAGATTCAGTAAGATGTCTGTCAGCCAGGTATTGCCTGTAAAGATTCAGTAAGATGTCTGTCTCTGGAGTCAGGTATTGCCTGTGTCGTGTGAGAGGTGTGCATGCCTAGCACAAGTAACATGGTTCGTGGGTCTCGAGCATCACAAAGAACAGAACCTCCCAAGATTGGTTTAAATACTAGAAGGTGTAGCAAATGTAGCAACAATCATTACTAACATTTCCAGTGAATCGGACATTGACTAAATGTGGACACTTGATATGTAAAAATAGTGAGTTTTGGATAAGATGAAAGTGATCATTTGGTGACGTTTGTGGTTTCAATAATTGTTAAACACAATATATATCGTTAATTTCATAAACAGTTCTTCTATTTAATTATGCAACCAGGCTGTACCTGAATTATGAGTACACCGATTTTCTTAAAGTTTAGACAAGTTTGCCAGTTCTGAGTTGGAGTTATTTGGGAACATACAAGTAGGTACAGATATAAAATTGTATTATTGTTATCGGAACTTTATATGGTTTTGTGTAACATACCTGGAACGGTTCTAGCTCTGGTTGAAACAGTATTGCCTCCTTCCGCCACAGATCTCCCAGATTCCCTGCTCTCTGCCACAGTTCTGAGTTGGAGTTATTTGGGAACATACAAGTAGGTACAGATATAAAATTGTATTATTGTTATCGGAACTTTATATGGTTTTGTGTAACATACCTGGAATGGTTCTAGCTCTGGTTGAAACAGTATTGCCTTCTTCCGCCACAGATCTCCCAGATTCCCTGCTCTCTGCCACAGTTCTGAGGTATTTTTGTCTTGTTGGATGAGAACCTGTAGCATTCCCATATCTTCACCATACATGTGGTAGTAAAACGTGAGGCATCGAGCATACGAGTCGCCTTGGAAAACCGGAGAGAGAATACGTGCCCGATCCCCTGGCTTTCGCGGGTAACTTGCCTCCGTATAAAGATACCATCCTAAAATATACACAGATACGTGTGTACAAGTACAGTGTTTCAGAGTAAAGCATGCGACTAGTTCAGTAAAATAAAAAATATCACGGAAGGAAAACGTACTTTTGACTTTTAGTAACTTTTCTTGGGAATAACGTATTGCTTCACCTGAGTGACAGTTTATGCACATAGTGGGTTAGCCAACCATACAAAGATTTCTGAATTACAGACCAGTGGGGAAAGCTAGCAGTGAAGCGTCTACTCTGAAGCGATTAGTGGGACTGACTGTCACTGACATAATGCGCACAAATCTGAAAGCGTGTTTTGTAACACCATGTTTCGAACCCAGTGTGCCAAATATGGTGCAGTGGCTAATGTGACGGACACAAAAGCTCTCCGTAGTTTGGGACTTGAGTACATTACAAAGATGATAGTTTAATCCATTACTCGGTCAGACAAGACTAGCCCAAGAGTTGGAGGTTGTATTCTATGAACTAACTGCTTCCCATCAATTCAAAATTAAGAATGGATAGCCGTTGAGTAGTTTTAAGAGAAGACACAAAATCAAACAAAGAAACTAGAACCTGCAGAAGCCTATTACGATACATTAACCAATAGAACATGCTCGCAACTTTTCTAAATTTATAACTAGTAACTGCATGTACAGTAGTTGCAAAAATGTAAGTAAACACATACAAAGGGTTGAGTACGTTCTATTAAAACAATTTTGAATATACACATCAGCAAGTCACGTAGCAACCACAGCCGATATAGAGTCGCGATGGAACGAAATGTATCAGAACTACATTTTGACATTGTTTGTTTTTTGTATGTATTCTGATGCTACCGAAAATGGATCGCTTTTGGGAAGAGTGTGTAACATCTTTTTCCAAAGCAAAATATTCATACACTCAGAACAAAAATATATTGATATTGGGAGCTTAGAATTTTGCCTACAGGGATATTCTTTGTACTTAATGGCATTGGAAACATAGGAATATATATCAACTTGGGACACTAGGACCACCCAGAAAAAGACCTGCAACAAGTCGTACGCCAGCTGTGAAAAGCAAACAGGAATGTAATAACAGATGAGAATCTATGAAAACAAAGGTCAGTGGCAAAAGCCATCTATGTGCTCCAGGCAACAGTATGTAATGTATCAAGAAGGATCTCCATATGGAAAAGCAAACAATTAAAGTGGATACAAATTGCTTCCTATGACATCCATTCAACGTCACGTACTCCAATTAGCTGGAGCATGAAATGGATATTCATGTTATTCCATAAAGACATATTGATCAAGTCGCCTATGGATTTCTGTGTGATCGACCAGACTGTTAAAACAGGTACTGGGAAACTATCGACCTCCTACATTAGATGTGTTATGGAAGGCTGTATGGACGAGGGTTGTACTTTGAACATGACAGCATTACAACGGAGCCTTTTTTAATGGAAGCTATGCTGCAGGGCTGTTGTCAAGATGCACGGTCGTCAGACAAAGGACAACTGGATATGGCGACTTGGACTGTAACAATGTGTACAGAGCCTAATAAAAAAACACCGAAATTGATTTAAGAAACCATTTGATAATCTAATGCCTTATGACCCATAAGGTTATAAACAAATATTCATATTAGAAACAAAGTAATAATTTTGCTATAAAAACGAATTATCTGGAATTTTATTTCAATATCCATCTTAATTCGTCCATTAAGTCTGGAAATAAGATGTGTGTAAGTCAATCTTTTGTATCCCAGAAGTTATCAGCTGGTCTGGACGATGAGAGATATTAAAATCGATAAAACTATGTATATATATATATATATATATATATACATGTAACATTGATTTCGAATCACAATGGATAAATTAAAAGAAACGTGAAAAGAAACCATCTACAATTAACTTATTTTTATAACAGTCTTTAGGCCTATTGGTTTTTAATATTACGTCAAATTTCAGTGTTTAGACTGTAGCTTTAAAAGCAATATTTTTGATTATCGAAAAGAAATGACATAACAATGCATAACAATAGTTTTGACGAAATCAGTAAAAGGAAAATACATGAGTGGGACACATTATTCGAAGAGATAGTTTAAGGAAAGAGCTTCTAAAAGGAAGGACTGTTTGAGGAAATGATCTGTTGGAGGTTCTAAAAGGAAGGACTGTTTGAGGAAATGGTCTGTTGGAAAATCTAAAAGGAAGGACTGTTTGAGGAAATGGTCTGTTGGAAAATCTAAAAGGAAGGACTGTTCAATGAAATGGTCTGTTGGAAAATCTAAAAGGAAGGACTGTTTGAGGAAATGGTCTGTTGGAGGTTCTAAAAGGAAGGACTGTTTGAGGAAATGATCTGTTGGAGGTTCTAAAAGGAAGGACTGTTTGAGGAAATGGTCTGTTGGAGGATCTAAAAGGAAGGACTGTTTGAGGAAATGGTCTGTTGGAGGTTCTAAAAGGAAGGACTGTTTGAGGAAATGATCTGTTGGAGGTTCTAAAAGGAAGGACTGTTCGATGAAATGGTCTGTTGGAGGT